GTAAAACCAAAATTTCCTAATTAAATTTCCCAGGGGAAAAAAGGTGGGAAAAATGTGTTAAGAGAACCCGGGCCCAAAACGTTTCGGGTCCACCCCGGATTTTAAAACCCCTGTGTTTTTTGGGTTTTGTTGGGGCATTAGCTGGGAATTTGGCTACTTAAGCACTTTTTATATATTTTAAAATTTCCCACTGATGAAGTACCAGTAGATTTTAGACGTAATAGGTTGGGATAGAGAAACCATAATGGGAAGTACAGTAATATTGTTATATCCCTTTCAAGAACGTAATTATTTATCAGGTTTTCATCCCGGAAAATTGATAATCCTAATATTATTTCATTAACAGTAAGCTGGGAAAGGAAAATATTATATGCTTACAAAAAAAGTCCTTATCATTACCTTTTTTTGGGGTTTTATCTTAATAATTTTTTATCCCCGTTTATAATTTTTCCTTTTTCATTTTAAAAACCCCCTTACGGGACTTTAGTTTCACGAGTATGAACCCTGCAGCTATAAAACCCGAGAAAAAAGTTTTCCCGGATTTCAGATTATTTTACTTTTTTAAATTTTTTTTTTTTGTATGCCAACAGAGTACTCATTTTTGTACTCTGGCCGGGGTTGGGCCCCCTTAAAAAAGTTTTTTAAAATCCTGGTCTCTGTCAATCACTAATAATTACCTGAATTTGCATAATGGTTATGGATATTGTAATGGGTTGATGTGTAATATAATTGGCAAGAATGTATGTTTATGAGGTACTTATATAATGCTGTAATAATAAAAACCTTTATTTCTACTAGTACAGTGTATACAGACCTAACCGATGTCAGTGATACTATATAGAAAGCCCCCTGTTATACAGAGCATTCCAGGAAAATTAGGGTAATTTTGTCCCCAGGATGCAACCCACACCAGTCAGCTAACACCCAGGTACCTATTTAATTCTAGGTGAACAGGGACTTCAGGTGTCTTAAGAAAACATGCCCTGTGCTTCCACCTGTACCAGGGATCGAACCATGAACCTCAGTGTGTGTGATCTGAATGCTCTACCAACCCAGCTGTGGAACTATGTATATATGTACCCACTAATCTGCATTTTCTTTTATTTTATTATAGTTTCTGTTCTTATTTATTTCACTTTCGTCTCCATGGGAAAGTGGAAAAGAATCCTTCCTCTGTAAGCCAAGCATATCATAAAAGACGACTAAAATGCCAGGAGCGATGGGCTAGTGACCTCTTCTCCTGTATAAATTACTAAAAACAGACAAAAGAAAACTATATAAAGTTCGGATGTTTGAATGTGAATGGATGTAGTGCAAATGATAAGGGAGATGATTGCCAATGTTCTGAATGAAAAGAAGCTGGATATCCTGGCTCTAAGTGAAACAAGGCTGATGGTAACTGGGAAGAAATAGACGGGATTAGGTCAGTTATCTGAGAGAGTTTGAGCTAAGGAAAGGGTAACAAGAATGTTGAAGGATCATTTATGACGGGTAAAGAGGGAAAATAAAAGTATAAATTCAAGGATTATGTGGATTAAAATAGGTTCAGATGCAAAAAGTGGGTTATATTAAGTGTTTATGCACCTGGAGAAGGGAGGAGAGTAAAGGAGAGAGAGAGATTTTAGATGTTGAGCGAGTGTGTGGGGAGGTTTTCAACCTAGTGAGAGAGTAATTTTAGTAGGGAAAGGGGACTCAAATGCTAAAGTGGTAGAAACAGTTATAGAGGGCATAGCAGGTAAGTTTGGTATACCAGGGGAAAATGATAAGGGGAGCCTTTGATTGATCTTTGTATAGAAAAAAGTTTGGTAACAAGTAATACACATTTTAAGAAAAAAGGATACATAAGTATACAAGATATGATGAAGGCATAATGACAGTAGTTTGATGGGTAGACTTCTGGATGTGTATGTTTGTAGAGGGGTAGATAGAGTACAAGGAAAATGGCATCAGTGAGTAAGAAAAAGGTGAAAGTTTATAAACTAAGCTAGTAGGTAGTTAGGATAAGGTATAAGCAGCTATTGGTAAACAGATGGGCTAATGAGAGCATAGGCAATGAAGCTGAATAGGTATGGGGTAAATTTAAGAATGAAGTGTTAGTGTTCAACAGAAGTTTATGGATATAGGAGGGTGGGTGTAAGAGGGAAAAGGAGTATTTGGTGGAATGATGAGGTAAAAAAATGTGGTGAGAGAGAAAAAGATAGCATGAGAGGTTTTTACAAAGGAGAGAGGAGCATATGGACAGTAAGGGAGAGGTTAAGAGAGTGGTAAGGTAATGTAAAAAGAGAGCAAATGAGGGAGTGGGTGAGGTGCTATCAACAAATTTTGCTGAGAATAAGAAAATGTTTTGGAGTGAGATTAATAAGTTCAGAAAGCCTAGGGAATGAATGGATTTAGCAGCTAAAAAGAGAAGAGGAGAGTTATTAGATGAGGAGTTGGAGGTATCAGGAAGATGGAGGGAATATTTTGAGGAACTGTTAAATGTTAAGAACATAAGAATGGAAGAACACTGCAGAAGGCCTACTGGCCCATACAGAGCAGGTCCTTATCAAAACCACCCCTACCCAAAACTACCCAAGAATTTACTCCCATACCCACAACACCAATCAAACCCAGCCCCTCCCACTCATATACAGTGGTACCTCAGGATACGAACTTAATTCATTCCAGAAGGCTGTTCGAGTGGTGATACTGAACAAATTTGTTCCCATAAGGAATAATGTAAATTAGATTAATCCAATTCAGACCCCCAAAAATTCACTTACAAAAGCACTTACATAAATACACTTACATAATTGTTTGAGTTTTGAGCTGTTCGTATCCCGAGGCACCATTGTATTTGTCCAATCTCTTTTTAAAGAAAGGGAAGTTGTGATTTCCTGCATTGACCAGGAAGGCGTATAACATCTTTTAAGAGTGAGGAAGTGCCTGATGTGAATGTGGAGGAGATATAAGAGGCTGTGGGTAAAATGAAAGGGAATAAAGCATCTGGGAATAATTGGATCAAGACAGAATTGTTAAAAGTAGATGGAGATATAGTTTTGGATTGGGTGGTGCTTTTGTTTAATAAATGTATGAATGAGAGGAAGGTACCTAGGGATTGGCAGAAAGCATGCACAGTTCCTTTGTATAAAAGCAAAGGGGACAAAAACGAGTGTAAAATTTATAGAGGAATAAGCCTGTTTGGAGGGATATATTTGGCAGTTTGGAGTGATATGTTGTGTATCTTTATACGTATATACTTCTAAACTGTTCTATTCTGAGTACCTCTGCAAAAACAGTGATTATGTGTGAGTGAGGTGAAAGTGTTGAATGATGAAAGTATGTTTTGGGGATTTTCTTTCTTTTTGGGTCTTCCTGCCTCACTGGGAGACGACCGACTTGTTAAAAAAAAAAAAAAGCCTGTTTAGAATACCTAATAAGAATACCTAATAAGACTTAAGGGTAAGACAAGAGAGCAGAATCACAAATGAACAAGGAGGCTTTAGGAGGGTAGGGGATGTGTACTTCAAGCGATTGCAGTGAGGCATATAAGTGAACAATTTTTAGATAAGGGTAAAGAAGTTTTTGTTGCATTTATGGATTTGGAAAAGGCATATGATAGGGTGGATAGGAAGCAATGAGGCACATGTTGCAAGTGTATGGAATATTGGTGGTAGGTTACTGAAAGCAGTGAAGAGTTTTTACGAGAATGGTGGAGCTCAGATTAGGGTATACAGGACAGACAGAGAGGGAAATTATTTTCAAGTAAAAGTAGGCCTTAGACAGGGATGTGTGATGTCACCATGGCTCTTTAATATATTTATAGATAGGATTGTAAGAGAAGTGAATGCTAATGTGTTGGGAAGAGGTGTGGGATTGGAAGATAAAGAATCTAGCACAAAGTGGGAGTTTTCACAGTTGCTTTTTGCTGATGGCACTGTGCTTTTGGTGGATGAATTTGGGAGGGTGTTTCAAAGATGGAAATTAAAAGTGAAAATTGGAAAGAGCAACGTGATGACCGTAACAAAAAATTTAGGTAATGAGAAATTGGGTATCAGATTGGAGAGAGGGAGTATGGAGGAAGTGAATGTGTTTAGATATTTTGAAGTGGACTTGTCAGCAGATGGATCTGTGAAAGACAAGATGAACCATAAAATTGACAAGAGAAAAAGAAGGCGAGTGGTGCACTGAGGAGTCTGTGAAGAAAAAGAACTTTCTTCATGGAAGCAATAAGGGGATTGTGTGAGAGTATAGTGGTACCAATGCTTTACTATGGGTGTGAAGCATGGGTTATGAATGTTGCAGTGAGGAGGAGCCTGGAGGCAGTGATGTCATTTCTGAGGGCAGTGTGTGGGGTGAGTATTATGCAGAGAATTCATATCTTGGAGTTTAGAGAAAGGTGCAGGATTACTTAAAGTATTATCTAGAGGGTTGAAGAGAGATTGTTGATGTGGTTCAAACATTTAGAGAGTATGAAACAAAATAGGATGTTGTGGAGGGAAGGCTGGGTAGGGGTCATCCTTGGAGAAGTTAGAGGGAGAGGATAATGGAGGCTTTTTGTGCAAAGGGCTTAGACACCTGGCAAGCATGTTAGATAGGAGCGAGTGGAAGCAAGTGATTTGTATGAATTGACGTGCTGTTGGAGTGGGAGCAAGGTAATATTTATGAAGGGATTCAGGAAAACCAGTTAAACAAACTCGAGTCCTGGAAGTGTGAAGTACAGTGCCTACACTCTGATGGAAGAATGGGGATATTTTCTGTTTTGAACTGTAGTATCAGCACATCTTCAAGAAAATGATGGAGTGAGTGATAGTGAAAGTGTTTCTTCTTTTTTTTAGTCACCCTATCTTGGTGGGAGACAGCCAGTGTGTTAAAAAAAAAAATGATTTATTACTATATACAGTATATTATATATGATGCAGTGCAGTAACTCACATTTCATTGGATTTTGGTTTAATTTCCAAATTTTATTTGATTTTTCATGTGATATTTTAAATGTTTTATATGTATAACATTTCATTTTCTCAACAGAGGAGTGTGTGTACCAGGATGAAGTGGAATGTGGTGGTGAACAAGAAGAGTTTCAGGTGGAGCAGCTCAACAATGGAAAGTTCCAGACTTCCTTCCCTGTGGCAAAGTAAGTGTATATTGTTGTACTAATTTAGCTTAGAGTGGCGGGAAATACAGTGCCTGCACTTTAAATGTCAAGAAACCTTGATATATACATGCTTGTCAAGTCAAGTCATACAATATGGGAGATTACTGACTTGCAGTCTAACTGGGGAATACTCTGCTATAGCAACAGTAGTCACAAATTTTCAATCACAAGTCAGGAATACTAAGTATTCCTGAAGGGAGACCTTTAAGAGGGTGCCTGAATTATTTTTTTTTCTTCCTTCTACTTTTGGAGTTTATTTTGCTGATAACTTGATAAAGCCTCATCCAGATTCAGATTTTCAACTCTTGTGTATGTTAACACGGACCAGATCAGTCTTGAAAGATGTTTGTTTACACTACAGTTTAAAATGGTATAATGTTGATATCTTTTGTGAGCAATGTACTCTAGTAAAATGGTGTAAGAAGCTGTGCCCATTATGTGTGCTGCTGATACTGGCTTTGGCTCAGAAAAATATTGTGAGATTGTAGATTTCTTCAGTACATGTTTAAATGGTCTGTGTGAGAAATTACATGCACTAGTTTCACTATTAATTTTATTCATGTAATTTAGGTAAGATGGAACTTATACAATTATTACTCATCAATTTTTGTTTCACCTCTGAGACAAGTGGGACTTAGGTCACAATAGGTGGCAGGAAAGTAACTCCTCCGATGCCCACACTCCTCAAATCACACTCACTAAGCAGGACCTAAAATTATTTTATTATTTAAGAAAACCAGTAACTCTGGTAAATTTACATGCATGGACTGTATCAGTTGGTTTGACTTGACTGAAAAACATGGTACAGTCTATTACACTTGGCATCAACACTGTAACTGCATGCGGTGAACACATTAACTGAATTCTTAATATTAACACTCACCAATTTGGACCACAGGTGGAACACACCCTAACCAGCTAGAAATACGAAGGCCAGCATAAAACTTCTGTACAAAATAGGTTAGTGTTACTTATCCAAGGCGTGTAGTAGGGAAGTCACCGGTATCCTTTCATATTTTCCGATCATACCACTCTATTGTAGTGGTTTTACACAAATTGGCTTCACATACAGCAGTAGCAGACATTACTGCATTATTTGATTGTCGTCCGAGGCCACTCCACTCAAATTTTGCCGCAAAGATGTCCAATTCAATTCAACGGTTATTGAGACCCGTCTTCCCCTAAATTTTCATTTTAGCGTCCCCCTCCACCTGTCTCTGCGGCTGCTGGTTCTTTTTTCATTCAGAAATTAAATTTAGATCAACAACACATTTTACACATTATTTACATTATTGAAATTTATACATTATAAATTTAGGAAAATTGTGTCAAATTTGCCACACTGCGGCCGGGCGAAGTTCGTTGATAAACGACTTAAATTGCTCCTTCCTCTTTGAGACGATTCCAGCCAACTCTAGCTTGATTGGCTGTTCTCCTAGTAGGCCTTACTACAATTTCTTCCTCTTGAATTCCTTGGTCGGCGCTATCTTCAATTTCATTCGTGTCACTTCCCCTTAGATTATCATTTACAGTTGCAATAGGACCCATAGACACAGCACTTGGCACAAAAACCTCTGTGACATTTCCCATGTCAGGCTAAATTTTCTCAAAAAATCAATGTATATAAAAGGGCCCAAAATCTGGAACTGCCAGAAATCTCCAGAACCACTGGCTCAGTTAGAATTTTTAAAACTACAGTTAAAAAACACCTTATCTCTCTAACCTATCCCATCCCATCATAAATACATGTGTAAAAACTATACATGCATTTGCTCAATATTATGAACATAGGTGAAGCTTTATAATCAATACATATATACTTACTCTCAATGTCTGTATTCATCTCAAATGTTAATCACTATTGTGTCCACCTAATGTTAATAATCAATATTGTAATTCTTCCCTACAAAACTTATCAAAGCCATATAGCATGATCTAATAGAATATTCAGTTCTCATGTATTCATTGTAACTCACCTAATGACAATATGTACTGTTACTGCCTTATTAATTTAAGTTAGTTTTTAGTTTGCCTGAAATGCTTTACATATAAAGGAGTTTTTGGCATGTACACCCAAGTATTATATTCCTTTGTACAAACATGTATCATGCTGAAATATACATACATTTATTATTATTATTATTATTATTATTATGATTATTATTATTGATGTAAACAATGTCTCATACTGTGTAGACTGTGTGTACATGTTCCATACCTTTCTCAGTCCTGTATTATTCAGTTGATTTTCGATCTTTATCTCACCACATTTAAACTCTGGATATTAACCATGGCACTCAGGAGGAATACTAATGATGCTGGACATGCCAAGAGTAAGCATGAAATTATGAGTGTTTTGAACAAAAAATTGAGATCTTACATGTGATAAGCTGAAAGGTGATGCATATGTGATAAAGATGGTGTGAGCCTTTAGTCTCAGTGAAGCAACACTTCATACAGTTACAAAGAAAAAAGGTTTAAATAGGTCAGTAGAGCTAAATAAGACAGAAAAGTTAATGTGTGGATTGAGCAGAAATTCAAGAAAGGTGCCCCACTTAATGCCATAATAGAGAGAAATCCCTATTGTACTATGAAACAATGATCAAGAAATTTAGGGGTGAGCAAGCTATTTAGGCATAAATACATATCAGTGGTGGTGCAGAAACTCCTCACAGCAGTGAATGACAACTTTAGGATACTAGAGTGCCAGACTTATAGCATAACTTTAACATTGCAGATGCAATAAGCAATGTAAAAGCTGCATGGAATTTAGTCCTGCAGTCAACAATAAATGGCTGGCAAACATTATGGCCAAGTGTGAAATATTTCACAGGATTTCCCTCAGTAGAGAGTCAGGTTCAGGAAATTGTGAATCTGCCAAGGGCAGTATCAGGTGAGGCTTTCAAGATATGCAGGCAGAAGACTGAAAAAGTGATAAAAGATGGCAAAGAATAAACTGCAGGAGTGTAAAAGATCGCTAGTGTACAGTTGAAGACATTATTAAAGGAATGTTTCACCACAAGTGGCTTTTTCAGTCCTAATGCAACCACTCATGGTAAAACATTTCCTGAACTGTACACAAGTGTCCTTTTCCTCAGTTTGTTGGTATCACTATACCATTTGTGACCAAATTGCAGGAGAATTTTGGAGAACTTCAGTTCCCAGGTAGAAGGGAGACAGCAGAAGAGGATGAGGAAGAGCATGTACCTTACATAATTGACACTTCAGGAGCTGTGTTAGATGCTGCATACAGCTGATAAAGCTGCAGACTTTTGACTGACAGAAACTCTGATATATTTAGAAGCATTGCTATGGAGGGCAGTCTGGAGTAGGTATTAATGCTTAATTGTCACCTGTAATTGCTCTGAAATGTAGTCTGGAGCAGGTATTGATGCCTTATCATCAGCTGTAATTTCTGTGCAGTAGGGTCTAGAACAGGTTTTGATGCCTTGTCATCAGTTTTATAGAGTACACAAGCACCATAGCCATCAATATCAACATCAACACAAGCACCATAGCCAATAACATCAACATAAGCACCATAGCCATCCACCTCAGCCCAGTAAGGCCACACAAAACCATCTTCACACATTTGATGATCAACAAGTATACTAACGACCAGAATTGAAGGTAAGAAAAAAAATTTAGGCACCCTTTTTTTATAGTTAAATGAACTGTATTTTATAATTAGTCATCTCATTATATTTAACTATAATGGAAGAAATTATATTGTTATAAATACGAAACTTAAAAAAAAAATTTTTGAAGGTCTCAAGAATGTAACGTTATTGTACCTACATGTTCTTCAGTCCAGTCAACATTATTTTCCTTAATTTGTTGGTTTTCAGACACATTACTTCCATGTTATTTAAGACTACTATATGTCAGTTTTGGAATGCATTGGTTAGATAAACAAAAATGCTGTCTAGCAAACATAACTTGCACTCGCTTAGCAAGAGCAGTGGAAAACTGTACCATTCACAGCCATTGGCAAGCAATTGTAGAAAAAATGCAGGTAGTAGTTCCCAAATTTCATGTCTTGTTTCATTTTCATAGACTTACAGCAAGTAATATCAAGATTTTCATACTTTATCAGAGTTTATATTGGATTTTTTGAATTGTGTTGTAACAAAACTGAGCTGTTTGAAATTGTGTTATAAAAAGTTTTACTGTATATAGTGGACCCCCAGTTAACGATATTTTTTCATTCCAGAAGTATGTTCAGGTGCCAGTACTGACCGAATTTGTTCCCGTAAGGAATATTGTGAAGTAGATTAGTCCATTTCAGACCCCCAAACATACACGTACAAACGCACTTACATAATTGGTCGCATTCGGAGGTGATCGTTATGCGGGGGTCCACTGTATTCATTGTTGGGGAAGATATTCAGATTTATTTCTTATTATATCTTTTCTTGGCTGTACAGTATACATATGTATGATATGAAAATACTCAATGACATGCTTTACCAAACTAGCCTCTTCCTCCCCCTCCCCCCCCAAAAAAAAAAAAAAAATCCAACTCTCTTACAGGACAGTTAACAGAAATACAAGTGTGCTGAAGAGAAGTTTGGCTGACTTGGGCATTCATTTAATAGTTGTACAGTGTAGAGGACATTTACTTTATTAAATATATATTTTGTTGTCAAGACGAGTAGATCACTACAATACAACTGTGGCTTCTTTCAGCACCTACATTTCATACATCATTGGATCTAAAGGTGCCACCAAGAAGAGGATTGAAAGTGAAACTTATACAACATTAAGATTCCCGGGGAAAGGTCAACCAGGTGATATTGGTAAGCTACAGAACATGCTGAAATTTTAGCATATTATGTATTTCTTTTGGTATTATCAGAACTGAAACAAGGGCTTGCACAATTTTCTCAAGAGAGCTCAGTGACATTTATTCTTTTCTTATCTGTTCATTATCTGTATTACAGCCTGACTTCAAATATCAAGAACCATAAGCACATCAGCCCTTCATAAATCTGGATCTTCTGTAAACTTGAAGTCAGAGTCAAGAACATTGTTAAAAATTAAAAAAAGAACGTTAATACTCATGAATTTTTTGGTAAAGTGCCTACCAAAATCTTGCTGTCTTCCCCTCTCACCCTCTGTCTCCTCCCTTTCTCCCCCTTTCACCCCCTTTCACCCTCCCTCTCTGCTTCCCTTCCTGCCACCCTCCTCAATCCTTCTCCTAAGAAGCTTTCTTCAGAAAGGACATGATTGCCCTCGATATTATTAATCACCAGGAGAAATCTAATCACAAGCTCTTGAGTTGTTCACATACAAAATATAGGAGGGCCCCACTTATACAGCAGGTTAGGTTCTGGGCTACTGCTGTAAAGTGAAAATCACTCTATAGTGAAACATTGCCTTTTTTCACTATCAAATGCATGTAAAAGCCTGATAACATGTTTACACTGTCTTATATTAATCCGTAAACGGTCCAAGCAGATCTACGTTCACATGTGTAGTGCTACAAAAGTAGATCTATGTTTTTTTACATATTTTCAAATATAACAAAAAAAAAGTAGATCAAAGTTTTTTTTACACATTTTCAAATGTAAAAAAACAAAAAGAAGATCTACCTTTTTACATACTTTCAAATGTTGAAAAAACGTATATACAGTGGACCCCCGCATAACGATCACCTCCCAATGCGACCAATTATGTAAGTGTATTTATGTAAGTGCGTTTGTACATGTATGTTTGGGGGTCTGAAATGGACTAATCTACTTCACAATATTCCTTATGGGAACAAATTCGGTCAGTACTGGCACCTGAACATACTTCTGGAATGAAAAAATATCGTTAACCGGGGGTCCACTGTACACATTTGGACCGTTTATGGGTTAAGTAAGCAATAGAGCTAGGCTTAAAAAAGTCACATACAGTATTCACATTACTTACCTTAAAATATGTCTGTCCTAGGCTTATAGTGAGTGGTAAATATATTTATTTACTGTAGGAAGTCTGAAAAAATGAAGATTGGATTTTTTTTTTTTTTTTTTTTTTCAACAAGTCGGCCGTCTCCCACCGAGGCAGGGTGACCCAAAAAAGAAAGAAAATCCCCAAAAAGAAAATACTTTCATCATCATTCAACACTTTCACCACACTCGCACATTATCACTGTTTTTGCAGAGGTGCTCAGAATACAACAGTCTAGAAGCATAAACATATAAAGATACACAACATATCCCTCCAAACTGCCAATATCCCAAACCCCTCCTTTAAAGTGCAGGCATTGTACTTCCCATTTCCAGGACTCAAGTCCGTATATGAAATAACCGGTTTCCTGAATCCTTCACTAAATATTACCCTGCTCACACTCCAACAGATCGTCAGGTCCCAAGTACCTTCGTCTCCATTCACTCCTATCTAACACGCTCACGCACGCTTGCTGGAAGTCCAAGCCCCTTACCCACAAAACCTCCTTTACCCCCTCTCTCCAACCCTTTCGAGGACGACCCCTACCCGCCTTCCCTTTCCCCCTATAGATTTTATATGCTTTCCATGTCATTCTACTGTGATCCATTCTCTCTAAATGACCAAACCACCTCAACAACCCCTCTTCTGCCCTCTGACTAATACTTTTATTAACTCCCACCTTCTCCTAATTTCCACACTCCGAATTTTCTGCATAATATTTACACCACACATTGCCCTTAAACAGGACATCTCCGCTGCCTCCAACCGTCTCCTCGCTGCTGCATTACCACCCAAGCTTCACACCCATATAAGAGTGTTGGTACTACTATACTTTCATACATTCCCTTCTTTGCCTCCATTTGATAACGTTTTTTGACTCACATATACTCAACGCACCACTCACCTTTTTTCCCTCATCAATTCTATGATTAACCTCATCCTTCATAAATCCATCCGCCGACACGTCAACTCCCAAGTATCTGAAAACATTCACTTCTTCCATACTCCTCCTCCCCAATTTGATATCCAATTTTTCTTTATCTAAATCATTTGACACCCTCATCACCTTACTCTTTTCTATGTTCACTTTCAACTTTCTACCTTTACACACATTCCCAAACTCATCCACTAACCTTTGCAATTTTTCTTTAGAATCTCCCATAAGCACAGTATCATCAGCAAAAAGTAACTGTGTCAATTCCCATTTTGAATTTGATTCCCCATAATTTAATCCCACCCCTCTCCCAAACACCCTAGCATTTACTTCCTTTACAACCCCATCTATAAATATATTGGATATACTAATTAAAAACTGCTGCATTAACGAAATGCCCCAAAGCGAAGTTCTGTAAAGTGGAGCTCACCTGTACTGACAAATATTCAGACTTATTAAGAGAGAAACAATGGTTAATATTGTTTGCTTACAGTAATTAAACTTGGGTTTAAGAATATTTTTTTGAAAAAAGAAAAAAAAAGACTTGTTACATCATTTATAACAGATGTAACATTATTAATAGATGTATAATTATCAATAAGTTATATAGTATTAATAACAGTTGTAACATTAGTAACAACAGCTGTATAATTATTGATCATTGTTTTAACATTATTAATAACAGCTGTAATATTTTTAATAACTGTAACCCTATTAACAACAATTGTAATTCAGTAATATTAATAACAAGTGTAACATTAACTTCAATATTATTATTAATTAATATTATTAATAATAGCTATAATATTATTAATAACAGCAATAGCATTAGTAGTTGTAACATTAATAATAGTTGTAATATTATTAATGTTTGTAACATTAATAATAGTTGTAATATTATTAATGGTTGCAACATTAATAATAGTTGTAATATTATTAATGGTTGCAACATTAATAATAGTTGTAATATTATTAATGGTTGTAACATTAATAATAGTTGTAATATTATTAATGGTTGTAACATTAATAATAGTTGTAATATTATTAATGGTTGTAACATTAATAATAGTTGTAATATTATTAATGGTTGTAACATTAATAATAGTTGTAATATTATTAATGGTTGTAACATTAATAATAGTTGTAATATTATTAATGGTTGTAACATTAATAATAGTTGTAATATTATTAATGGTTGTAACATTAATAATAGTTGAAATATTATTAATGTTTGTAACATTAATAATAGTTGTAATATTATTAATGGTTGCAACATTAACCCTTTGACTGTCGCGGCCGTATATATACGTCTTACGAGGTGCCGTGTTTGACGTATATATACTCATAAATTCTAGCGGCTTCAAATCAAGCAGGAGAAAGCTGGTAGGCCCACATGTGAGAGAATGGGTCTGTGTGGTCAGTGTGCACCATATAAAAAAAATCCTGGAGCACGCAGTGCATAATGAGAAAAAAAATAACTCCGACCGTTTTTTTTAATTAAAATGCCGAATTTGTGGTCTATTTTCGTATAGTACTTATGGTTGTATTCTCGTTTTATTGGTCTCATTTGATAGAATGGAAAACATATTATAGAAATAGAGGTGATTTTGATTGATTTTACTATAAAAAGAACCTAGAAATGGAGCTCAAAGTAGGGGAAATGTTTGATTTTTGCCAATGTTCAAAAGTAAACAAATGATGCCATTGTCCAATAAATGTCCAACTAGCCATTCTAATATGCAGTCATGAATGGGTTGATGTTATTTATACAATTATTACAGTATTGCAGTAGTCTGCATAATAGTAAGTCTTCTATTTTTTGTTTGAATAAAAATTCAAAATAGAAAGCAAGAGTAATATCAGAGGGGACTGGAGATGTGACTAATGAACAAAGAAAATGTTATTTTAGAGCCAGGAATGTCTGCATTGTTCATTCTGGACCTTATTTTGAAATTGTCATATTTTTTAGTTTTCGTGAAATTGGCCAAATTGCAAATTTCTGACCACATTATTAGGTAGTTGAAATTGGTAAATGGGCAGTTTCTTGTACTCAATCGATAGAAAAAATGGAGTTCTAAAGAAATAGCTATGAGTTTGGGCGACTGGAACAATGGAATTAGCCGAAAATAGGGTTCAAAGTAAACCATACCCCCGGCCGGGATTGAACCCGCGGTCATAGAGTCTCAAAACTCCAGCCCGTCACGTTAGCCACTAGACCAGCTAGCCACAATAAGATTCATCCAACTAGGTATATTTCTACACCATAGGAAAGTTAGCACAGGCACCTCTGTGACCACAAATGCAAGTTTTTACAGACGAATCTCCAGCTAGAGTTCGTCACGGCCACGCTAGCTGGAGATTCGTCTGTAAAAACTTGCATTTGTGGTCACAGAGGTGCCTGTGCTAACTTTCCTATGGTGTAGAAATATACCTAGTTGGATGAATCTTATTGTGGCTAGCTGGTCTAGTGGCTAACGCGACGGGCTGGAGTTTTGAGACTCTATGACTGCGGGTTCAATCCCGGCCGGGGGTATGGTTTATTTGCAATCGTGTCATTACGATTTCTTGAGTCAGGGTTCAAAGTGGGCGAAATCGCCGATTTGTAAACAGCGCTGAGGTCGCTAACTTCGCGAGAGCATAATTCCGTCAGTTTTCCATCAAATTTCGGTTTTTTGGTGTCATTACAATCGGGAAAATATTCTCTGTCATTTCATAAGAAAAAATGTTTTATTTTTTTTTTTAAATTTTGCGACACCAGGAGACACCTCAGGATTGGGGGTTGCGACAGTCAAAGGGTTAATAATAGTTGTAATATTATTAATGGTTGTAACATAATAGTTGTAATATTATTAATGGTTGTAACATTAATAATAGTTGTAATATTATTAATGGTTGTAACATTAATAATAGTTGTAATATTATTAATGGTTGTAACATAATAGTTGTAATATTATTAATGGTTGCAACATTAATAATAGTTGTAATATTATTAATGGTTGTAACATTAATAATAGTTGTAATATTATTAATGGTTGTAACATTAATAATAGTTGTAATATTATTAATGGTTGTAACATTAATAATAGTTGTAATATTATTAATGGTTGTAACATTAATAATAGTTGTAATATTATTAATGGTTGTAACATTAATAATAGTTGTAATATTGTGATGAATGGTTTGAAAAACCGACAAGTTGAAGATTGAGACACTTATGCAGCATATGGGAATCTTTATTCAGGAAACGTTTCGCCACACAGTGGCTTCATCAGTCCAATACAAAGAGGAAGGCGTAAGGAGAGGAGGAGAATGAGGTAATCAGTCCCTCAACCTGGAGTCGATGTGTTCAGTCCATCAATCTTGTAGAATGTACAGCATAGGGCCGTAGACGTGGCTTATATACTGTAGTGAGGTGACGTGAAGCAGATGGAGGCGGGGTCATAGTGGTACCATCCACTAGTCGAAGTAGGTCTTCGTCCAAAGGTTGAACAAGTGTTGAAGAATTCTTTGTAACAAGATCCCATGATGCTGCAGTGGATGGTACCACTATGACCTCGCCTCCATCTGCTTCACGTCACCTCACTACAGTATATAAGCCACGTCTACGGCCCTATGCTGTACATTCTACAAGATTGATGGACTGAACACATCGACTCCAGGTTGAGGGACTGATTACCTCATTCTCCTCCTCTCCTTACGCCTTCCTCTTTGTATTTGACTGATGAAGCCACTGTGTGGCGAAACGTTTCCTGAATAAAGATTCCCATATGCTGCATAAGTGTCTCAATCTTCAAGTTGTAATATTATTAATGGTTGTAACATTAATAATAGTTGTAATATTATTAATGGTTGTAACATAAATAATAATTGTAATATTATTAATTGTTGTAACATTAATAATAGTTGTAATATTATTAATGGTTGTAACAATAATAGTTGTAATATTATTAATGATTATAACATTAATAGTAACAGCTTTAACAATAGTCATAAACAGATTCAGTATTGTGTGTAACTCTTGATAAAATTTATAACCTTAATAATTGTGACAGTTTTAGTATTATTATTAAGAGTTGTATAACTAGTAAACCATACCCCGGCCGGGATTGAACCCGCAGTCAGAGAGTCTCAAAACTCCAGCCCGTCATGGCTAACGTGACGGGCTGGAGTTTTGAGACTCTCTGACCGCGGGTTCAATCCCGGCTGGGGTATGGTTTGTTTGCAATCATGTCATTACAATTTCGTGAGTCATAACTAGTAATAATAGGTATATAATTATTAATAACAGTTGAAGCAATTATTATTTATTAATAACTATAATACTTTTGATAAACAGGTGCATAATTATCAGTAATGGTTGTACAGTGGACCCCCGGTTAACGATATTTTTTCACTCCAGAAGTATGTTCAGGTGTCAGTACTGACCGAATTTGTTCCCATAAGGAATATTGTGAAGTAGATTAGTCCATTTCAGACCCCCAAACATACATGTACAAACGCACTTACATAAATACAGTGGACCCCCGCATAACGATCACCTTCGAATGCGACCAATTATGTAAGTGTACTTATGTAAGTGCGTTTGTACGTGTATGTTTGGGGGTCTGAAATGGACTAATCTACTTCACAATATTCCTTATGGGAACAAATTCGGTCAGTACTGGCACCTGAACATACTTCTGGAGTGAAAAAATATCGTTAACCGGGGGTCCACTGTACACTTACGTAATTGGTCGCATTCGTAGGTGAGCGTTATGCGGGGGTCCACTGTAAAAGGTATAACATGATTAATAACTTTCGTAACTATTATTAATGGGTTTAGAATTATTAATAACAGTTTTGACATTATCAGCAAATTAGAAAAATATTAAACCATACCCCCGGCCGGGATTGAACCCGCGGTCATAGAGTCTCAAAACTCCAGCCCGTCGTGTCATTACGATTTCTTAAGTCATAGAAAAATATTATACAGTGGACCCCCGGTTAACGATATTTTTTCATTCCAGAAGTATGTTCAGGTGCCAGTACTGACCGAATTTGTTCCCATAAGGAATATTGTGAAGTAGATTAGTCCATTTCAGACCCCCAAACATACATGTACAAATGCACTTACATAAATACACTTACATAATTGGTCGCATTGGGAGGTGATCGTTAAGCGGGGGTCCACTGTACTTTCCTAAACTAGTGAATCTCAGTCTAACCCCTGAATTCGCTGGCCCCAAACTCCACACCCAAATTTCACTTGTTTCTGGTCATTCTCAAGATGATTGTCAGTCTTAAGCAAATGTAAGCAATATTTTAATGAGATATTTGCCTCTCAAATACATAATGAGCTCAAATCTGAAATAAAATTTACACGGCCACATTTTTGTTACTCGTTAACTCTACATTCGCAGAACTTGTTGGAACAGAGCCCCTGTGTGTTTAGGGCTAGGTATTGTAACATAGCTGATAAGTGACCTATGTTGCACATGTGTCTTACTCATCACCTATTTACAATATCTAACATAAGCTTAAACTAGTTTAATATCATTTGATTGTGTCCTTAATTTTAATTTTGTATTTAAAGTCACTTTGCTAAATGTCCCATTGTGTTTTTAATTTTGACAGTAGTGACTGGTAAGGATGTGAAGACAGTTCGGCAAGCACGCCTCAAGATAGAGCTGTTAGTCGAGCAGGCACGCAAAAAGTCACCGTTTACCCATTTTCTTTCTATCCCTCTGAATAAACCTGCAATACAAGAAAAATTTCTTGAGTTTAAGGTTTGTGGAAACTTGTTATTTGTGGAGGAAAAATTACAGTTGCAGAGTGGGACTTTATTGAGATGTCTGACCTGTGGAACAGGCTTCTGAATTATGCTTTCACAGAGTTAATGGTCTCTGCGATATTTATGCACTGGTGATTTCGCCCACTTTGAATCCTGTTTCAGGCCAATTCCATCATTCCAGTCAACCAAACTTTTAGCTATTTTGTTAGTATGCCTTCGATTCTGTTAATTGATCACAAGAAACCACCTATTTAACTATTTCAGCTATCCAATAATGTGATCATAAATTGGTAATTTGGCGAATTTCACTCATTAAAAAATGCTAATTTAAAAATAGGGTCCAGAATAAACAATGTAGACATTCCTGGCACTAAAATGACATTTCCTGTGTTCATTAGTTATGTCCCCAGGCCTCTCTTATGTTACACTTGCTTTCCATTTTGAATTTTTATTCAAACAAATAATAGAAGATTTACTGTTATGCAGACTACTGCATTATTAAAATTGTATAAATAATGTCATCTCCATGGGGAAGTGGAACAGAATTCTTCCTCCATAAGCCATGCGTGTTGTAAGAGGCAACTAAAATGCCGGGAGCAAGGGGCTAGTAACCCCTTCTCCCGTATAAATTACTAAATTTAAAAGAGAAACTTTCGTTTTTCTTTTTGGGCCACCCTGCCTTGGTGGGATATGGCCTGTGTGTTGAAAGAAAGAAAGAAATAATGTCAGCTCATTTATGATTGCATATTACACTGGCCAGTTGGATATATACTAGATGAGTGATGTGATTAGTGTCCTCTGGAATATTGATAAAAATTAAATATTTCCATTACTCTGAGCTCAGTTTTAAACTACTTCCAGTCCTGAAATTAAAATCATCTCTATTTCTGTAATATATCTTCAATTGTATGAAAGGAAACCAAGAAACTGAGAATAAAACCATGAAAACAATCCAAAAATAAACTGCAGATTCTCAGTTTTAAACCATACACACAATTACAGTTTTGCTTTTCTCATCATGCACTGTGTGGAGCGGGTTTTTTTTTTATATTGTGCATACTCGTGGCATAGACCCATTCTCTCATGCCTAGGCCAAAATTTACTGCTCACAGCTTATCTGAGTGAGCTGAGCTCATCACCTAGTTCTATGGCACAGACCTTGAGCTCAAAACTAGTACTATAGCATGGACCCTGAAAGGGTTAAGGCACCTTTGTCTGTTAGCACAGATGTGGATGTGGGATCTTTGATGCACATCACCACTGCTTTTGTCTACTAGAGACATTGCTGCACAGTACTACAGTAATGTCATCAAAATGGTAAGCTTTTATCATTATGCACTCGAAATGTTTGTCATGCTTCTTGGATATAGTAAGTTTCATAGCAGTAATAGTTTATATTTCTCTTGCTTATGCAGAAAGAAGTGCTAGAGAAGTGCGGAGATTGCCGAGGCGTTGATGAGTCAATTTTTCAAGAGCCTGCCAAACTTCATCTAACACTGTGTGTCATGGTGTTAGCAGATGAACGTGAGCGCCGGCAAGCTCTGGAAGCACTGGCTAAATGTCCAGAAAATGTTTTAAGGTTAGTTGAACCCAAAAATATTTTTCAGTTTTTATTAAGAGAGGGCATCCTGCAATGCTGATTATCCATTAAATCCAAGTGAGATAATTGTTTTTCCATAAACTTAACAATAACAGACAATGCTGGATTTAATAAACTTCATCGCTGAAATCCAATTTCAATTTACCCAGTCGACAGTAACAATGATTTAACCCTTCGAGGGTCTCGACGCCTGCTCGCAATTTTACTCACAGGGTCGAAGAATTTAAAAAAAAAAATTCTCATGAAATCGTAGAGAATCTTTTTCCGAAGGTAATGAAACCACAAGTACGAAATTTGGTGGAAAACTTATGGGATTACACTCTCATAAAGTTAGCAGTCTTGGTGATATTTACATATTGGCAATTTCACCCAATTTGAGCCCTCTTTTGTCTAATTCCATTGTTCCAGTCGACCAAACTCATAACTGTTTAGCTAGAACTACTTTTATTCTACCGATTGAGTACAAGAAACTGCCCATTTAGCTATTTCATCTACCCAGTAAAGTGATCAGAAATTACTAATTTAGCAAATTTCACACAAAATTTAAGAAAGGCCAATTTCAAGGCAAGGTCCAGAATAAGTAATGTAGACATTCCAGGCACTAAAATAACATTTTCTCTGTTCATTAGTCACGTCTCCAGGCCCCTCTTATATTATGCTTGCTTTTCATATTGAATTTTTATTCACACAATAAATAGATTATTTACTGTTATTCAGACTACTTCATAATTGTAATAATAGAATAAATAATATCCGCACATTCGAGAATGCATATTAGACCAGCCAGTTGGCATGTATTGGATGCGTGATGTGATTTGTTTACTCTTGAGCATCGGCAAAAATCAATGTTCAAGAGCTCGATTTCAAGCTCTTGAACATTCCATTTTGTCAAATGAGACCAAGAAAATGAGAATACGACCATAAATACACTGCAAAGTTGCTGTTTTAAACCATACACATGGTCGCAGTTTTTTTTATACTGCTCTCACTGACCATGCAGACCCATTCTCTCACATGTAGGCCTACCAGCTTTCTCCCGCAAGATCTGAAGCCACTAGAATTTTGGCGTAGTATTACAGGACCGACACTGGCTTCAAAGCCGTAATATTATGGACTGACCCCCAAAGGGTTAATGGACATCGTTAGTTAAATTCAAAGCCAGTTTGCTCCAAACAATAATGAACAATCATGAATTTAATGGACTTTGCTCCTCATTTATGGACTTTGTCCAGACAGCTTTTGTCTATTAAATAAGATTTGTTAAAATTGATGTTATACTGTAATAGCTGTTCAGGCATGTAGATTGTGAATCAGTGATTTGTTGTCCAGTTTCTAGAGCACATGATTTTTGCACTATATTAAATTTTTAAGAAAATAAGTGCTGAAAAACTGACACTTGAGAAATAACTAGTGATGCAAGATGCCACAAGAAAAAATTAAATGCTGCTCTAGACCATAGGAGACAACTGATTTATAATAAATAATATTTTACAGTTCTCCACAGGGATTTGGAAAAGAATCTTTCCTTCATAAGCCATATGTGTTGTAAGAGGCAACTAAAATGTCAGAAGCAAGGAGCTAGTAACTCCTTCTCCTGTTTAAATTACTAAATTTAAAACGAAAGACTTTTGTCTTTCTTTTTAGGGCACTCTTGATCAGACCCTAATCAACCATGAGGCCTGCTCTCAGACTGAGCCACGGGGCATTGACCCCCAAAACCCTCTCCAGGTAAACCCTGTCTTGGTGGGAGATGGCCGGTGTGTTGAAGAAAAAAAAAATTTGTTTATCTTTTTGGGTCACCCTACCTTGGTGGCAGACAGTCAGTGCATTGAAAAAACTGTATAGTATTATATAATAAAGACCCTGCATGAATGACATAGCATAGATAATGCTGGTTACAAAACAGGAATCCCAGGGAACCAAAAACAGCAACTCTTCTACATGTCATATTTCAAATGTTCCCTCAGCTTCAGCGTTTTTAAAGAAAGTGCAGTTACACTAACTACTGTACCAGCGGTTCCTGCTGAGACCTTGGTGACACTTTTTAACAGGCTTTGTGGGGTAAAAATATATTTTTTATGAACCTATTTCCATTATATTGGATGGGTATTTGTTTGATTTTAGCTTCATGTATGACTGTTTGGTCCAAGTATCTTGATTAAACCATGATTCCTTGCTTCATTAACTTCCTTGTAAAGCTTATTATTGTTATAGTACAGTAAGTATATGCATGGAAAATATTTTAAATGTTAACAACAAGTTGACTTGCTCAGAATGCTCCTAGAGGTATTTTAAACTCTGTAAAGTATCACAGTTTTCAGGATATCTTTTTATTATGTACTGTTATATGCAAATGTATGAAGACTTTTCATTGCCACAGCTTTCTCAAAAAAAAAAAAAAAGTATAAAAGCCATGAAGTTGAGGATTAAGATTATGTCATATGCCTGGAAATTTGATTATTACCATATCTACTTTGATGTTGGGAACTTGACCAGCATAATGTGATCAACTTTCATTGCTCTCTCACTGTATGGATATCACTCATGAAAAATAAAAGCCAATGTGCAGAGGAATGCTTACATAACTTTTCACCTGCAATAACCATATCTCACCTTAATTAAGGAATTTATATATGATGCATCATCTGTCAGTTAAACCTTTTTCATAGCTGTTGAACTTTGTTGATATTAAGTACTAATCAAAAATGTTGTAATAATGATACTGGATGTGACTGTAGTAACTGATACTTAGTACACTATATTTAAGACTTGTCTCTATTTAGTATAAAGCAGTTTGGTTTATACCTGGAGTTTACCTGGAGAGAGTTCTGGGGGTCAATGCCCCTGTGGCCCTGTCTGTGACCAGGCCTCCTGATGGCAAAAAAAAATTTTTAGGCTTAAAACACTCAGTAAAATAATCCTAACATTTTGGTAAGAAAAAATTTGTTTTTTTGAATATTTTGCGACATAGAATGACAGTTTCAGAAAGGGGCCTGCGACAGTCAAAGGGTTAACCACTTGCTAACAAATTGCACCAAATATCTGAACACTTCCTCCATACCCAAACTCTCCCAATCTGACATCCCTCTTGCATACTCTCACAAATTCATTTACTAATCTCTGCAACCTCCCCCCTCTCCCAGCCATATCCATCTCTCCAAATACCAACAAATTTTTAGGCAGATACTGATATCAAAATTAGAAGACACCAATTCTGATAGTGAACACTAGGATGTTGAGGTGTGGGACTGACAGGGAATTACATCTTTCATTTTATGGTGTAAATTACCCATGTGAAGAAAAGAGAGAAAAAAAAAAAACTTACCACTGATAAGGATATTAACTTGTCCCAGTGGTGCAACATCATTACCTGTTGAAATATAGATTAAGTTCAGCAATCAAATTTTCAAGATTTTATGTTGATTATTTGTTAAACTAAAATGTGTAACATACATAACTTTCAAAACTTAACTGCACATGAATAGCATTTCTATAAGTTTTTTTTTTTTTCTCAACAAACTGGCCGTATCCCACCAAGGCAGGGTGGCCCAAAAAGAAAAATGAAAGTTTTTCTTTTTAAATTTAGTAATTTGTACAGGAGAAGGGGTTACTAGCCCCTTGCTCCCGGCATTTTAGTCGCCTCTTACAACACTCATATCTTACAGAGAAAGAATTCTGTTCCACTTTCCCATGGAAAATTTCTATAAGTACTTATACAATTATTCCTGGCTGTTGTTTATCCTTTACTACTAAGAATAAACAACAGCCAGATTTTTTGTAATGTATTTAATGAATATTGCTACATTTTTCTAGAAAGGTAAGTACTGTATTAGCCAAATAATTCATTAAAAAGTTATAACAAAGCACAAAAGCAGTGTCAAGAAGTATGTAGATACATCTGCCAATTATTCATAATGGATACTGAAACTGAGAAGTAACTTTCTCTTGTCAGGAAGTATTTAGCTGAAGAGAAACTCAGGGTGGAAATGAAAGGCATCGAGTACATGAATGATGACCCAGGTGAGGTTGATGTTCTGTACGGCCGCGTCAATGCCCTAAGTTGGTCTCATTCACTCCAGACTATTGCTGATTCCCTTGTGGATGAGTTTCTTAAAGCTGGTAAGTACTTGAAACACATTTGCATTATATACTGTACCATTGAGGGAAATGTCAACCACACCCAAAATACAGTATTTTATTTAGCAATTCCTGAATGTAAATTCATTGTAGGCTTTTAGTATTTTTTTTTTCATTTTTTAGCCATGCTATCGAAGTAATTACCTTTAATGTGATTTACAGCCAAGTCTCAATTAGTGTAAATAATGAATTCCATTTGGTGGTCACATTATTTAAACTAAACACTATTCAAATTACAGGAGGGCCTTTCTTATACAGCAGTTTAGAATCCAGGCTACTGCTGTAAAGCAAAAATCACTGTGAAGCCAATCATAGCCTTTTTCCACTTTCAGATGCATATAAAAGCCTGATAACTAATTTACACTTACTGTATATATTAAGTGGGCAATAGACCTAGGCCTAAAAAATGCATTTACAGTGCACACATTACTCATATTAAAATATTTGCATCATTAGTTTATAGTGAATATATTTATTGTGGGAAGTCTGAATAAATGGAGAATGGTCCAGGTCAGACCAAAATGTCGTCGTAAGCTCCCCTCTCCTGTGTGCTTTTTATTTATGAATTGTTCCAGTCACAGTATTGTGACTTTTTGTTATTTAAGAATGGGTATTAGCCAAACACCATAAAGCAAAGTGCTGTAAAGTGGGGCCCACTTGTATTATACTAATTTTCCATACTGCTTTGTATAATTAAAATAATTTAGTAGTGTAATAGATTCTTTTAAACTTTAATTAAAAAATGTTTTGTGTTCTTGTTTATAAATACCCCTTCAGTCTTCTTAACCCTTAAACTGTCCAAACGTAGATCGATGTTTGCTCGCATAGCACTCCGAACGTAGAACTATGTTTTTTTACATTGTTTCTTATGGAGAAAATCAAGGTCGGAGCGCTTCGTGTGCAAATGTATATCTACATTTGGACGGTTTAAGGGTTTAGATAGGCACTTAATATTATGGCATTGAAGAAGCAATATCAGCAAAGGAGATGCATGCTCAGAAGGTGCCTGACATAATTATAAAATATTTTATTTCTTTGTGTAGTATACAAAGTGTAATTTACATATAATATAATATTGTTAAGCACAAAGAAAGCCACTATTAATCCTGGCACATGTGCGTCAGGATTAATAACTGTGGAAAGAACACATTAGTTCAGGATAAGCAGGTTCTGATTGTCCCAAAACCTGGCATTCCAGTGAGCAGTGCTGCTGTTGGCCGTGTAATTTATTTAATTCAGGACTTGTTAAGCTCATTTCCAATAAAGAAGGTAAGAGAGACCAAAAAAAATAATTGTCATGTCTTGGTGCTTAGCTTCTCAGCTTCTGAGGCAAAACAGGATGTTGAGGCTTCCCTGGCTTTCTGCTTGTGGTTTTTGAACCAGTCAAGATCCTGCCTAAGATAGTTGGTCTTTCACCTTGAGAATCCTCAGGTACAGGAACTGTCTAAAACAGGTTGTGCCCTTAGTGAATGTTTTTCTAAAGTGTTTCCCAAAATTTTAAATGTCATTATTAAGAATGGTTGGTATTTATTTGTTGGCTTGGCAAGATGCAGAGTTAATGAGAGGTTTTGGGTGACCCATTTTTATTATTGCCAGGAGTTTCATCATACTGCAGCAAAATGTACTCATAAGGATAGTTCACCTAGGTGTGCTTTTTGTGCTGGTGATCAAGAGTCTAGAAGTTATATTAATTTTTCTAGAAATGCTCCTTGAAACAAAATTCAGCGTTTTGCTTCTAGCTCAGACTGTCCCTAGATGGTGCTCCAGCATCTTCAAAGCCACTGAAGATGGGATTATTAAACATGTGTGGTGTGAACACTAGATCACCAGGTTCTGACTGACAAACCAAAATTTAGAGTTCCAGTGGACAGTGTCGCTATTGGCCATATAACTGATTTAATTCAAGATTCATTAAGCTCTGTTCTAGTGAAGAAAGTAAGGTAGGCAAAAACTACATGCCTTGGTGCTACATCTATACCAATTCATTCAACTGAGACAGCTTTATGCAAAGTTCATAATGATCTCGTGCTGAACATTTGTTTGGGATATGCATTGCTGTTAATTTTTGTTGGACCCCTCTGCTGCATTTGACATCAATGATTATGGATTACTGATCAACACTTTTTGGTTGTGGTTTTAGGGATGTACTGCTTTGTCACTACTGAAATCACTTCTTTGGGAAGGTCATATTTGGAGATGAGATTTTGATCCCTTTGATTGTGGTACTCTCAGTTTGCAACCCGTAGAATCAGTGAAGGAACTCATTGTTAACCTGGATTCTTCATTATAATTAATTGAGCATATGAAACACATTCTTCATGGGAAAGTAGAACAGAATTCTTCTTCTGTAAGATGTGCGCCATAAGAGGTGGCTACAATGCTGAGAACAAGGGGCTAGTAACCCCTTCTCCTGTATATATTGCTAAATTTAAAGAGAGAAACTTTTGTTTTTCTTTTTGGGCCACTAGAGAGAGAGAGAGACTTCCTATACAGACGAAGGTGAAGAATCACAGAGTTGCTGAGAGGGGCCAATATATCTGAAATACGAAGGGAGGCACTGGTCATAGAAATAGCAAATATCGAACTTAAGCTTAAGGAATCTTACAGGAGACAAGAATCTCAGGAAGAACTAAAAGCCAATAAGGAAATTAAAAAATATATATATATATATGTCTTCACTTATGCCAAATATAAGGGTAAAACAGCATCCAGTATAGGGCCCCTGCTTAGGCAAGATGGAACCTACACAGATGGCAGCAAAGAAATGAGTGAGATACTAAAGTGAGCCATTACCCAGACTATGGGTCAACAATCTAAATGAATTCTTTATGAACGAAACCCAAAATTTGGTCATCTCAAAAATCTCTGATATTATCCTAGCACCACAAGACTTTAAAAAGGCAATAAATGACATGCCCATGCATTCTGCCCCAGGCCCAGACTCATGGAACTCCATGTTCTTCAGGAACTGCAAGAAGCCCCTGTCACGTGCCTTCAGCATTCTATGGAGAAGGAGCATGGACACAGGGGTCATCCCACACTCACTAAAAGCAGCAGACATAGCCCTACTCTACAAAGGTGGCAGTAAAGTAATTGCAAAGAACTACAGATTGATAGCGCTAACATTACATTTCATAAAAATCTTTGAGAGGATTCTAAGAAGCAAGATCGCCAACCACCTAGATACCCATCAGTTACACAACCTAGGGCAACACGGATTTAGAGCAGGTCACTCCTGCCTGTCCCAGCTACTGGACCACTATGACAAGGCCCTGGATGCTATAGAAGATAAACAAAATGCAGATGTAGTATACACAAACTTTGCAAGAACCTTTGACAAGTGCGACCACAGTGTAATAGCGCACTTCAAGTAACTAACAGAATGTAAGGTAAGATAAACTGTAGTAATTTTTACTTAGAATATGTAAAAAGTTTGGCAAATTTAGCAGTGTTAGGAATGTAATCTTATTTTTCCCCATATGTTGTTCTCTTCACATACAGCTGTTTTTCATAGGGTGTCAATTTTCAGGAACATATCTCATGTATTACAAGAGAGAGTTTACTGCATATTTTCTTCATGTCACTTTTCTCTGCTACATTAATTACTGTTCCAAACCCTTGGAGAAACATTCTCACAAATATGCACCTAGGTTGTCTGCAGGTCATGTTCGTGATAGTTATCTAATGAGCTTTTGAAATCTAGGTAGCAGCCAGCATACTGTTGATTGCTACCTGGATTTCAAGAAAGCAAGAGAGTATGCATAGCACATTATCTTTCTTCTTTCTTTCAACAAACCAGCTGTATCCCACCAAAGCAGGGTGGCCCAAAAAGATAAACAAAATTTTCTATTTTTTAACATTAGTATTGTATACAGGAGAGGGGGTTACTAGCCCCTTGCTCCCGACATTTTAGTTGCCTTTTATGACATGCATGGCTTATGGAGGAAGAATTCTGTTCCACTTCCCCATGGAGATAAGAGGAAATAAACAAGAACAAGAACTAGTAAGGAAATAGAAGAAAACCCAGAGGGGTGTGTATATATATCCTTGTACATTCATGTGTAATGTGACCTAAGTGTACTTAGAAGTAGTAAGATGTACCTGAAATCTTGCATGTTTGAGACAGAAAAAAGACACCAGCAATTCTACCATCATGTAAAACAATTACAGGCTTTTGTTTTACACTCACTTGCCAGAATGGTAGTACCTCCCTGGGTGGTTGCTGTTTACCAACCTAGTACCTAGGATATCACATTATATACTCAGTTACACAGAATTGTTGGCATGCCTACACCTCTGCTCTGATCACCTCCCTAACTCTATTTAGCAATTCTGTCTTGTGTTTGACCTGCAGTCACAACCTGTGGATTCAGCTTGGAAAATATGAATGAGTACTCTCTCACTTATAATGGTACAGTTGTTTAGTTTGATTCACCAATAAATTCTTATTTTTTCTTTCTTATGTCTTTACACTTTCTCTGTAAACTGATGCCTGGCAGTTTACTGAGGAATGTTGTAGAATTTACAATATCGATGAGCAGTTATTCCCTTAATTGCATGATATTGGCTTTATTTTGTGCCTAACATTATTACATTATCTGTATACTGCACAAAATAAATAAAAATTTGAATTTGAATATTTTTCAATTCTAAATACAGTGGACCCCCGCATAACGCTATTAATCCATTCCTGAGAGCTCAATGTTATGCGAAATTATCATTATGCGAATTAATTTTCCCCATAAGAAATGATGGAAATCAAATTAATCCGTGCAAGACACCCAAAAGTATGAAAAAAAAAAAATTTTACCACATGAAATATTAATTTTAATACACACAAACTTAAGAAAACATGCACAGTTACATGACACTTACCTTTATTGAAAATGTGGTGATGATTGATGGGATGGGAGGAGGGGAGACTGGATGGTTTTAGTGTTTAGAAGGGGAATCCCCGTCCATTAGGACTTGAGGTGTCAAGT